GGGGGGGGTTGAGGAAGGCACAGGTTGAGGCGGAGAAGTCTTGTGTGGAGAGCTGACTAGAAACTGAGTACTTTCCGTAGCTTGTGAAGGCTATGTCCATCATGGCAGGCTACCTCCATCATGGCAGAGCTAGTCCTTGGCCTAGGAAGTTAGGAATCCCATCTGTCCTGGTTTGCTTCCTGTTCTGTGATAGAACACTGGCCCATGCCAAAGTGGGGGAGGAAGGAGTTTGTTTGTACAGTTGTTGAAGGAAGCCAAGGCAGGAACCTGAGGGCAGGAACCGAATCAGAGGCCATGCAAGAGTGCGTCTTACTGCCTCGCTTCATTTGGCTGGCTCAGTCAGCTGTCTTACATAGCCCAGGCCCATCTGCCCACGGACCGGATGGTGCTCATGAATCAGTTAGCAACCAAGAAAATGCCCTATAAACACAGACAGGCAAATCTGATGGAGGCAATTCCTGGATTGGGATTCCCTCTTCTCAGAAATACTTAGTCTTATGTCAAGTTGACAAAACTACGACACCGTTTTCCCAGCACACCGAGGAAAGGCCGTCCTTTTAGGACCTGGCGTCACTCACTACATTCTCATAGCTTGTTCTACAGGGGCATCTTCAGACTTCAGGGAGCAGCATAGTCACAGAACTGAAAATGCCGGGATTGGCAGAGCTCTGACGAACTTTAAACACACCAGGAGTAGTTGGATTCAAGACGAGCCTCCCAACAAGAACAAAGCAAAGTGCCATCGAGAAATTCTCACTGTGAGTGTTTAGTCTGATTTTTTTTTCCTTTGGGCATTACTTGCATAATTACTCACATCCCCCTCCACTAGGGTCTGGTTTTCTTCTTGCTTTTGTGGCTAATTTTATATCCATGGGTTTTTTTCTTTCAAACATAGGTCTGCTACACTTGCTTGGGATTCTATGTATCACCAAATGTCAGTTCTGCCTCTTTGAGCCTGCCATCTGTCAGTCACCTTTATCAGTTTCAAGTGTTCACGAACATTGCCTTGAGACATTCTCAGAGCCGACCTTTGGAGTTTATTCTCATCACTGAAAAAGTTGCTATAGTTATTTTGTAGTTCATTCATTCCATAAACATTTATTATGTACCTACTGTGTGCAGGAACTGTGCTAAGTTCTGGGGTAGCTATTGACAAGAAGGCATATTAGTTATTTTTACTGTCATGTGTCCAGATACTTGACAGAAGCAGAGAGGGTTGATCGTGGCTCCTCGTTTCAGAGGTATCAAGCCACCATGGTGGGAGGGTATGGCAGGGAAGAGCATAACACAGAAGCTCATGTCGCGGTGATGAAGAAGGAGAGAACGGGGCGGGGGGAACGGACATGTGGGTGCTGCTCTGGTCTCCTCTTTCGGTTGGTTCAGGCTTCCAGACTATGGATGGTACCATCCATGTTCATAGTGGGTCTTCCCCTCAATCAATCTCTAGAAGTCACAGACACACCCATCTCCCAGGCCATTCAAAATCCATCCACGTTGCCAATGAAGACGAACCATTACAGATGTGCACCGTCTGCTCCTTTGGTATTGTTTCCATTGCTTCCAGAGCCCAGCAGGCCTTTGGCTCCTTCCCTTATCTCTTTTTGTGTCCTGCCCGTGAGGTGAGTGTCATTGGTCTGTCACACTCTCTCAGGATGATGTCCTGCCCTGCCAAAGCATTGGGGTCAATTCACCAAGGACTAGACCCTCTGATAGTATAAGCCAACATAAAATGTGTCTCTTTTCAAGCTTATTGTCTCGGGTATGTTGTTAGAGAGATGGAAATCTGACACACACATCCCTGTTGAAGGCTCCATGGACTTGTATACTTTCTTGCCGGAGGTTGCAGAAGAGGCACTAAATCCAGGCTGGGGATGCACAGGGTGATGAGGTCTGAGGGCAGCACCTTCTGGTTCCTTTGCTGATGTCTTTGGTGCTGTCCCCACGAGCTTCCTCTTAGCCCGTTAGGACCCTGTTCTCCAAACCCTATCACTAAATGTACATTCCCATAGAATGAGTTCTTTCCCTGAAAATCCTTTTATGTTCCCCGCTGCATATGGTTTCTTTGCTTTCCTGCTCCTTCTGCCCTCCGGATACCTGAAGACATCGCGAGCTCCTCCTAAATATCTCCAGGGTCAAGTCAGAGCACGTGCCACAGATCAATTTGATGTTATCCACGAAGTACGTATACTCATAAGAGAGAGAATTAATCTAGGCCCTCGTCAAGGACCTCACACAGTAAGGAGGAAGAAAAAGAATGAGGGGAGGAAAAGAGAAGGAAATGAAAGATGACGACTGGAATACATTCTGTACAGCGAGCTCTAGGAGTACATAAAAAGCATTAATAATTGAAAATAGAGGAATGTATGGAAATAATGGTCTGTTGTTATTACATGATTTGAATACATTTTTTTTACAAGAGTTTATGTTACCCAGGTAGCATAACCTCTATTTTAGAAGTGATGAAGAGAAGCACGACCATTAATTTTCAGAAGGCGCAATATAGCTGGAATACATAACACGATCTTAAAAGCAGCGTTCCAAGGACAGTATGAAAGCCCAATATTTAAACATACTCACTTTGTAATTCCAGGGGTAGAGATGGCATTTCTTCAGTTATTTCAGATACCTAGGTTGAGCCAAACTCACATCAACCATTTCTTACAATCCGTGTGAGAAAATAACAACACAGGAATTGCTTATCCCGAGTGTAAGAAGCCGCAGTATCAGCAGGAAAGTCTGACTGCGGCAGGCTTTTCACACCCCAGAGAGGCAGAGCCTCACGCTGCGAGCCGCGGAGGCCCCGCTGGGAAAGGGCGAGCGCTGGCTGGGTTGCTCCTGTAGCTGGGCTCTCTGCATTTTATGGCTCAGCAATAAGCGGGGGAATACGTGAAATGAGGACAGGTCTATTAAAGGTATCGTGTAGCTTTTGGTTGCACATATTTAAACTGCTTATAAACAGGTCAGACCTTCTGTCTTTCATACGTGTTTAATCAGTTACAAAGGTGTCCTTCCGCTTTGCAAAACAGTATAACTCGGAGGCTGATCTTGGTGTTCCAACCCCAAAGGGGGCGGGAGATGTCAGATCCACGGTTATAAGGAGTCTCATGCATATGGAACGATGTCTTGTGGGTGGGAAGAAACAGATCTGGAGAGGCTATTTCTTCCCAGCTGAAATCTTACAGTAAATTTAATTGCACGCCCTTAAGCAAAGGCCTCCGGTCCAGCTAGACAGGGAAAAGTTTCCTCAGAAAGGGACGTTTATGGACTGCTCGGCTACGCTCTCTCCAGGGAGACCTGCTTTAACGGTTCCCGTTAGGTGCTTCCCCTTTGGGGAGACTCCGATCCGGACGAAGTGAGTGAGCAGGGGACAGGACAGGGATCTCTGACAATGGAGCTGTGCCCAAACTAGAATGCACAACGGGTACTAGCCACGCCGCCTCTCTCAGTTGTGGTAACACAACTTCCGTCTTGAACTAGAGCCGAGAGACAAGAAGCGCGCGGACTCTAAGAGATCGGATCAGGCAAAGTGGGTGCACTGTGTAAGATCTGGACAGGAGTTTGACTCCTCCTTCATTTGACTTACTTTAGGGGAAAGCAAGCACTGTTTTTGTGTTCAGACCCTCCGTAAGCACCTGCAGGCTTGTGTTCGCCACCGTCACCACCGGGGCGGAGTGTTTCTTTCCTCCTGGATCCAAACACCACTCATGCTGATGTTTGTGGATCCAGATAGACAAACGCTCTGATTGGCAGAGCATAGGCTGTGACTCTTTCTGTCAATCACAGTAGCCAAGCCCTCTCTCACTCGTGGTCTGAGAATGAGTGCGGGCTCTATGAACCCCAAGATTAAAAACAAGACCAGAACACCGACGTGAGTTGGAAGACGATCTTTGCTTTTGGGCAGAATGACTCAATCTCACAGGAAAATAGTACATATTTTAAGAGTAGCCCAATTAAAATGCCAATGAATTTCCTCCTAGAGTATGACAAATTTAGTTTGAAGATAATTTGAAAAAAAAAGAAACTAACTTTTCACCACCAACAAAGAAAGGATAGTGTGGTTCTCAACCTTCCTAATGCTGCCACCCTTTAATACAATTTTATGTTGTGGTGGCCTCAACCCTAAAATTATTTCATAACTGTAATTTTGTTACTGGAAATAGAATGGAATTTCATAATGGAAATATCTGGTATGCGACCCCAAGGGGCTTGCGACCTACAGGTTGATAACCACTGCGCTAAATGAAGAGCTATGGAAGAAATTGTGCTTTATTCTGCTACTGTTTTTAATATCCTATGCATGATTTATTATCATATACATATCTTATTTACATATATTATTATTGATTTTTCTCTAGGTATTTCTTTTTTTTTTTTTTTCTAGGCTGGGATTTAAGGCTTGTGCCACCACCGCCCGGCGAGGATATTTCTTTAGACAGGTATGTAGGTATTGGATATGTGCATCTTCTAAACAATTCCCTATCTTATGTGCTGGTGTGTGTGTGTGTGTGTGTGTGTGTGTGTGTGTGTGTGTGT